CACACACGCACACACACACACTCCAGTAGCTCCCTATTACCTCAAGGATCAAAAATAAAATTCTCTGTTATCACGTTTAAAGTCCTTTATAACCTAGTCCCTTTCTACCTTTTCAGTTTTCTTACACTTTACCTCCCTCCACCTACTCTATCTAGAGAGGGAGAGAGAGAGAGAGAGAGAGAGAGAGAGAGAGAGAGAGAGAGAGAGAACAGAATTCTTAATGCAGTTTTAAGATAATAAAGCTTTTTTTCTTTCTCACTTTCTTTTTGTTCTCTCTTTCCTTCCTTGCCCATCCCCTAGCACCTAAGATTTTATGGATACCTTTATGTCCCTCCCTCCCACTCCCTGATGATGGGAGGTAGGGGGTACAAGGAGAGAAGTTCATGTTTCCCCATCCTTAAAAAATGCACCCTTCATTTGCTCCTGTCATTCCCTCAGGCTATCGTCTTATATATGTTCTTTCCTCCACTATCAAACTCCTAGACAGAATTGTCTACAATTCTTCCTCCCTCATTCAGTTTCCCATCCGTTACAATTTGTTTTACAAACCAACTACTCAAATGAAATTGCTCTCTCAAAGGTTACTGAAGATCTCTTAACTGCTAAATCCTATGCATGGCCTTTCCTCATTTCTTACTTTTCTTGACTTCTGTGTGGCTCTGGATAATTGTGACTACTGCTGGATTTTCTCTTCTTCCTTCATTTCCATGGTATTGCTTAACTCTAACTCTGTCCTTAACTGGATGACCACAACTTCTCAGTCACTTCTTCTAAATCATTATCCCTTAAACACTGGTATACTCAAAGACTTTCCTGAGCCTTTTCCTCTTTTCCCTTCTCCAACCTGTCTTCCAAATGGCTTCCAAAATAATCCTCCTTAGTCATAAATCTGATTGACATGCCACTCCCCAAACGAAACCCCAAGGGGCTCCCTATAATCTAGAATAAGTTACAAATTATTCAGTTTGGCATTTAAAGCCCTCTACAATTTGGCTCTGGGGCAGCTAGGTGGTATAGTGGACAGAGCGCTGGGCCTGGAGTCAGGAAGACCTGTCTCCTTGAGTTCAAATCTGGCGTAAGACACTTTCTAGCTGTGTGACCCTGGACAAGTCCCTTAACCTTGTTTGTCTTAGTTTCCTCACCTATAAAATGAGCTGGAGAAGGAAATGGCAAACCACCCCAGTATCTCTGCCAAGAAAACCCCAAATGGGGTCACAAACAGCTGGACACAACTGAAAAACAAAATGATTTGGCTCCAATGTATCTTTCTCTCTTTCTTTTTGAGGCAATCAAGGTTAAATGATTTGCCAGGGTCACACAGCTAGAAAGTATCTGAGGCTGTATTTGAATTCAGGTCCTCCTGACTCCAGGGCCAGTGCTCTTTCCACTGCACCATGTACCTGCCTCTCTGACTTATCTTTCTAAGCTTATTTCATGTTACTTCCCACCATATGATCTACATTACAAACAAAATGTACTGCATTCAAGTTGTTCCTTGAACCTGGGATTTTATGGCCCCTCCTCCAGTCTGCTACCTCCCATGCCTGGAACACACTTCCTTCCCCTCTCTCTGTCTCAAAATCCTTCTCTTTCCTGAAGGCTCAACTCTTAATCTATATCCTCCATGAAGCCTTCTCCAGTCTCTTCAACAATTACTCATCACTCCTTCAAATACCTTGCATAATGTGTGTGTAAGTTGAATCCTCTTACTAGAAACATAAGTCCCTGATGGGTAAAGTTTTATATATGTGTGTGTGTGTTTTTTATTTATTTTTACCTTTGTATCATCACTCTCCAGCACAGTGCTTTACAAATAGATGTTTAATAAATATTTGTTAGCTTGAATCAGAAATGTACATAAAAATATCTAAATTTTGATTACAAATGCTAAGGAAAAACTCAAAATTCAAAATCAATATTCAGCTCAATTCCTGAAGGTTCCATGCAAGCAAATCTTTGTTGGTCAGCACAACTGCACCACTCCTGTGGAAGTGTATGTGCCTTCTTAATTATATTAGAAATTCAAATGAATGTTAAATTTGGAGAAACAGAACTGAGAATACAGTTTTCTTTAATTTTCTCCACATTTTGAAAGTAATCATGCTAGGTGCTAGGTGATACAGAACAAAAAGAAAAGAAGAGAAAGACCCAAAGAGTTTACATTCAAGGAAGGAAGATGAGATATATACAAATAACTATAATATGATTTGAAATTTGATCAAGTATATAAGATGGGTAAAAATAGAGTAGTGAGTGAATCAAGGAAGAGGGGATCACTTCCTGTTGTGAAGATGAGAAAGGATGAAAAGGATGTCAACAGATAAACAGAAAAATTCCATTCCAATCACAATGAATTAAGGTTATGTAACTATATGGAATGAGGAACTGAGGCATTAAAAAAAAAAGTTGAGAAACCAGGAGAATTTCAGTTTGGCTGGAACACAGACTTTGTGACATAGAGTGGTGTGAAATAAGATTAGAAAAGAATGTTGGGATCCGATATTTGAGGACTTTAAATTCCAGGCCAAGGAGTTTGTATTTTATTTGACAATCAATGTAAAGCCACTGAAGATGATTGATCAAGAAGAGTGATATGCAAAAATTAGTGCATAGGCAGTGTATTTGGGTCATTGTGTGAAGGACAAATTGTAGAAATGAAACAATGGAAACAATAGATCAGTTGCTAAGTTTAAAAAACAAATCATGTGCTAGGGAATCAAGGACAGTGTGTTACCAGAGATAGCAATTGAGACAACAGCATAATAAACAGTGAGAACTTTCCAGAGTGAAGAACAAATTGATGGAGTGACATGTTAAAGAGGAGAATTGGGAGCAAGAAGAAGAGGCCTAGAGGTTATCCATAGGACCACATTAGTCCTGCAGTCCAAAATAAACCCCAAGAGAAAAAAGTATTGTATAATAAATATACCATTGTCAGTTTCAGATAGGTAAGGAACTGGAAAAACAACAGGTAACTTGGAACAGCCTCCAGTTTCTCCTGGTGCCTTAATTATGAGTTCTCTGAGAATGCAAATGAGTAGGTCCCCTAAAGATCCTATGAGAATTTGGCCAACGGATAGCCTGGGAAGCATTTCTTTACACCTTACTCGACCAGAACACAACAATGGAGGAGGGTGGAGTCTCTAGAGGTCTGCCAAGCCACTTTGTTTACTCAGAATCCCCCCTTCCAAGAAAAAAGAAAGCAATTTTCTGCATATACTGCTGGACAGAGGATCCCAAGGAGAACCTGGCCCTCTGAAGAGGTTACTGGATTACTTGGTCCTTACATCTCTCTTCTGATACTGCCATTACCCAAGTACAGGCCCTTATCACCTCATCCCTGGACTACTGCAATAGCCTGCTGGCTGGTCTTCTGCCACATGTCCTCTCCCCCTCTAGTACAGCCTCCACTCAGCTGTTAATTGATCTTTCTAAAGCATAGGTCTGACCATCTCTCTTTCTCTCTCTCTGTCTCCACACACACACACACACACACACTCACTCACTCACTCACTCAATAAACTCTAGTAAGATAAGTCCTTCATAACCTAACCCCTTTCTCCCTTTTCAGTCTTCTCACACTTTATTTCCCTTTACATGCTCTAAGATTCACTGGTACTAGACTCCTGGCTGTTCTTCACACAAGATACTCCATCTCCAGTCTCTGGGCATTTTCAGTGGCTATCCCCCAGGATGAAAATGCTCTCCATCTTTCCTTCCATGTCCTGGCTTCCCTGGCTTCTGACAAGTGTTAGCTAAAAATCTACCTCCTACAATAAGCCCCTTCCTAGTGCCTTCCCCTTGAGATTATCTCGGATTTATAATATAAATAGATAGATAGATAGATAGATAGAAATTATCTCCAATTCATAATATAGATAGATAGATAGATAGATAGATAGATAGATAGATAGATAGATA